TGCCTGTTCAGCCTGCAGAGCCGCCGGCAGGCCTGGCCCGGCTTTGGGGAAGCACAGGGTAACTGGAGAAGCAGGCTCGCTTCATGCTGGTCTTGGTTCCCCAAAATGGTTGCTTGAGACCTGCATCTTTAGAGCCCTGTCGATGTCAAGGGTAGCGCAATTTTACAGGCTAGTGTGATTGCAGCTGAACAGGCTCTGGTGATGTTTCTGGGTTGTTAAAGAAATGGTCCTCTGTTAACATTGTGGGTATGGAAGCAATAATGCCTCCGCGCTAGAGCTGCAGATGTTTCACAGTAAAATACTTCGCTACTGTATAGAGTGGAAAAATACTTAGCTTTCTAAGCTTTCATTTTTTGCGTATGTTGTTGATGTACTATCTAAGAGTAATAAGCTTAATACTTTGCATGTATGTGTGAAAGCACTCGCAGGAACATGAAATCCTACCTAAACTGTAGCTGTTGCTCTGACTCTGGATGTAACCGCTGAACAGAAACATGCTGTAGTTTTTCATTTGAAGCTGGTACAGGTGTTGCCTTCAGCACAGTTGCAAACAGTGAGGAGAGCCAACTGATGTGGCCTGTGGTCCCTGGGTAACATTTTCAAAAGTGCTTATATGACAGATGTTAAAATTCCACTGAGTGTCAGTGGGATTTAGGTGTCTAAGTCAGTGATTCCCAAACTGCGGTTGGCATACCTCTGGAGCAGCTCTTGGTAACAGTATTTGTGTTCATTACTATGTTAGGCTAAAAGTTTGAAAGAGGGCCTGTGTGGTCTAAAAGAAACATGGAACATTGCTGGAGGTCTGTGGCCAAAAATGTTTGGGGATCTCTGGTGTAAGTCATTTAAGTGTTCTTTGAAAACATTACCCTTTTTCTGGGAGAACTCTTGCTTCTGTTTAGTTGAAGCAATGGACATGAGGACAGTTACTGATGTTACTAAAAATAAAATACAGTCATAATCACTAAACATCAATATGCCAATAAAAAATGTTCACTGTAATTGCAAGCATTTATTTCATCTGTATTAATTTACAAATGTGTAACTTGGCTTGTGAAAATAAAGAATTGCACTCTTGACAGAAAATGTTTGCCCTTTTAGCACAGGATGAGTAACTAGTTGCTGTGTGTAAAAGCTAGTTACTAACATGAAGTATTCTGCAATTTGCTGCTCTTTATGTTCATTTCCTGTGTTTTTCCTGTTGTTTACTTAAGATACATCTAAATATTTGTAAAAAATGATAACCCTAAGAATTGAAAATGTTCAGGTATTAGAAACTTTTTTGTAAACAGAGTCCCTCAGAGTGTGTGTGTAAAAAAAAAAAAAAAAAAAAAAAAAAAAAAAAAATCATTTGTTTATCCATCCTTAAGTCTGCGGAAGTTCTTATTTCTCTCGCTGAAATGATGTGCTTAGCTGAGTGCAAGCATTTCCTGAAACTCTGATAAGGGAGAAGGCTCTTAGGCAGAAGCGATAAGCAACTGGACAAAGAAATATACCTTAACTTCTTGCGGTGTTAACTGTTGCTTTGTTTAAACCGTGCCCTTGTTCACTCAGCTTCTTGTGAGAGGGTCGGAAATGCATTAGTGCACTTGCCTGATCACACCCAGATTTTCACACTGTGCTGGGCAGCAATAAGAGACTATACGCCTGAAATGACTTCCCTTCATTGCATACATTAGTTTCAAGCATGTTTGGGTGGTGTTTTTTTTTTTCACAAACAGGACATGATTTTTCAGCTGGTAAGAGTGTTAGCAAGTCTGTGCTAGCTTGTGCCAGATCCCTAAACAACTTTGTAGTCATGTAGCATTGCTGCAAGCTGCTACTTTACCCGCTAAGATTGCACACAAATACTGTATTCTAACCCTTCAAGGAAAGGAGTCGGAATTTAATTCTTACCAATTACTTCCATGTTAGTGTAACAAAAGCCTCCATTTTCATAAAATCGGTAAAAACAAATACCATCTCTTTTTTGCTTGAGTTGTAGATGGATTCATAATAGCAGAGTGTTTGCTTTCTTCCTTGCACTGCCATAAACTCTCATCTTTTTTGTCATTTTTATGGAAGTGAGGACTTTCAGAAGATGGCTTAGGGAACAAGCTCTGCAGCTAGAACCTCTGATTTACATTTTTGCTACAGTTTGTCAGCCAAAGGCATTGCAGGGACATGGTGGGAACCTACCCTCAGGAGGGAACGAACTGGGGTGTGAGTTTACAGTTAAATCATATTCTCTGTAGGGTTAGCCAGTGGCTGTGCCTCAGAATTTGAGCCACCCCCTGCCAAATGCAAAGTTGCTTGTCTGTTACTGGAAAGGGGAATACACGACTTTGAATTACTTAAGGTTATACCAGCGTGGGGAGATGTGCAAACAGATGCTTCTGGTAAGGTAACAGCCTGGTTTTGTACTGCTGTAGCTTCTTTGTGTATCCATACATCTAGGTCCTCAGCCACTGATCTTCATAAATGTGATTGTAATTACATAGGAAGCCATAACTTTGCTGCTCTGATGCAGCTTAGTTTTTCCTACACGCAGGATCCTGTGTAGGTTTTTGGTTTGGGGGTTGGGTTTTTTTTTGAGACATGATTCCTAAAAACAAAAGGTGAGGAGGAATTGCAGTAGCACTCCAAAGGTATAACAGAACTGCAAAAGCAAGATGACTGGAAATTGTGATACACTAGGAAGGCAAGGGGACTTTCTGCCAGTCCCTCTCTGCGTGGGATCAAACAACCCAATCATATAGCTGCTTTAAAATACACACAGTTTGAATGTGTAACACATCCAGTAGAGAGCTACTGAAGGGAGCAGCCTACAGAAGAGCATCTGGGTGCTTTTACTTACATTAATCTTGAGCACCTGTTGTTATCAGACATGTACAAAATTGCAAAAAAACAGAATCCCTTGCTGTATAGCTGGCACATTTTAAAAACACTTTGAGCAGCTTTCATTGCTAAGACACAAATTAAAATGTAGTTGAGTAAATAAGGGTGAGAGAGGAGAACTACTGTCAAAGAAGGTTTATAGTTTTGAGTCCTCTGTACCTTCTGGTCTACCCAGACTGCATCATAGCATGGAGAAGTGGTTCACGTGGAGCTAAATGGTATAATATGTGTCAAGCAAAGCAGATAACTTCCAACTGAGTTTAGACTCTATGAAAGTATGGTATGGAGCTGGAAGACCTAAGCCCAAATGTCCTGAGAATTTTTTCAGAAAGGTTGGAGGCAGTTACCCATCTCCTTTAGCTGGAGGTCAGTTCCACAATCAGGCAGATCAACAGGATAAGTACTTCAACTAGGAATAGCATGTCTGGAGCAAGTGGTATCTGAAAAACATCCAAGATTAAGTAAATTGGAACCAGTCCAACCAGAATACTAAAAATTGGTGAAAGGCTGAAACCTGGGGGGAGCGCAGTTTGCTGCGAAACACAGCTGTCTTCAGGAAGATGACACACTACAATAGTAGCATACTTAGTGAGAGAGCTTGGAAAACAAGGCATTAAGAAAATAATATGTGACTGGGGATGCTTCTAGCCCCTCTCTGAATGCAGTCTGCAAAATAACTTGTTGCTCAGTGTCATGGCTGAGTTTGTGCAGTGCCTTGGTGGTTGATGCAGTCTTCTGACCAGCTCTGGTCTGTTTGACATAACTTAGGAGTTGTCCTTTCCCACATGATGCTAGTTCCTTCTTTTATCTTCAGGCATGTGACGTGGGGGTGAAAAAAAGCCTCTGGCCTAGAAATATCCCTGTCTCTTTTCAGGAACTCCATTTTCCTATCATCTGGAGAATGTAATGGAGTGGAGGAGAAAAGAGTCATCCTTTATTTGGATAAAGGAACAAGAGGAAGAGGTGCCACACTAGTGAATAGATTTTTTTTTCCATCTATGCGTAGAAGATGACCTCTTTAGTGTGTAGTAGTGCTATTGTTTGACTCCTAAGTAGGAAGACTTATTCTGGTATTCCTATACTGCTACAGGCACTGATGCTTTGAGGTACCCAAGCTAGCTCTATTTCTGCATAGCACAGTTACAACATAGACCTTACCTCCTTAACGTGGTTTCTAAGATTACAAGGAGGGAAGCAGCAGCCCTGTGCTGCAGTTTGTAGTGCTGGAATTTGATGCCGATCCAATGCTGGTTTCTTGTGAAGCGTGTAACCCAAAATGCTCCCAGTGCTGCTGTGTCCTCTCTGCTAGGCAGTAGTCCTCCTGTCTTCTGTTTCTGGAAATCTTTTGCACATTGACTAAGTCCGAAACAGAGAATATCTCTTCTCCTCTTCTCCCACTTTCCCTCTTCAATTTGGAAAAGGGCGTACCCTTATGGACTAGAGCACTCCTGATATATGAACGTCATCAGGCAGAGAAGGGACTTGGGGTACTAATTTGTAATTCAAACTGGATAATTACTCAACGCATATGGTTGAGCGCCCTGATCATATGTAAGTTATTACCATTTTAGAAAAACCGTGCAGGTGTTTTGACCTTGGAGCTGGGCCTGTTATTACCGATTAGACGTTCTCTGAGCAAATCTACTGTGTTGGGACCCTCTGGAGAGTTGGAAAGACATTCAGCTTACATGATCCAAGGCAGTAGTAGTTTTATGTGCTCTCATAAGGAATTTTCAGACCTCAGAGCAAAGGAGTCTGATGATGTTTTGGCTCCAATTATGCTGTTACTTAATAAGTAAGGTCTGAATATTGGTTTTGGATGTTTCCAGTGAATGTATTTCCTTGGGGGAGTTTGCCTTGGAAATAACCTGCCCACCTCAAAGAGCTTATGCAAAGTTAGTCATTGTGGAAGATGTCTTGACAGACACAGGCATTGCTGATAAGTAACGTGTGATGGATGTGTTCTGAATGCTGGGTAAATACTTGAAAGGCTGTCCCAAATAAGAGGCGTTTTCTAGTCGGCGATACTTCTTGAATTGCAATAGGTGCTATTTCTGTTTTGTTCAGAGTATTAAACCACATCTGTCTTTTCTAAAAGAAATGTTTGTTTTTGCGGTCCTTTGTAGGCGTAACCTGACAAAGTTATCCCTGATATTCAGCCATATGCTGGCAGAACTCAAAGGTATTTTCCCAAGCGGCCTTTTCCAGGGAGACACATTCCGGATCACCAAGGCAGATGCTGCAGAATTTTGGAGAAAGGCTTTTGGTGAAAAGTAAGTTTCTAACTGTGCTTAAAAATAGAGATGTGGGAACAAATTGCACACAGCACTGTGTATTTTTTAAAATTCTGGTTTGAGGTTCAGAAAGGTCTTTGTCAGGTTAAAATGAACAATGGGAGAGACCTGCTAGCCATTTGGTCCACTCTCTGGGGTTAGATACAGGATTGTTCCTACCTTATATTCCCATTTCCTTGTCCTGTCTTGTTTTAAATGTGTTAAGCGATGGGTCTTTCCCCACTTTCCCTCGGAGACCCTTGTACTGTCACAGAGTTTCCCTCAATTATTCAGCTTAGGTTTTCCTCTCCTTAATTTAATTTCTTAACTTGTAAGCAAGCTGTGCGAACTATGAGAAATAATCTGCTTTCTTCTTGCAAAGGTTACTATGCCCCCAACTAGTAAGTTGTCCTTTAGCTAAGCCATTATATTAACTTTTTTTCATCTTCCCTCCGATTAGTCTTTCCAGTCACTTAGTCACGTTTCTTCTGGCTTCTCTGAACTTTTGTCACTTTGCATAATGGCTTTGTTAAGACAGAATGAAGGAGAAAGTGAAGTGGAATGTATATTTACATGCTAACTGTTGAAATGTCAATTTTAATTTTTGTATCTAATAAAATGCTGACTAAATTAACTGTAGAGCAACATTTGAGGATTAAAGTTAATGAAATTGGGTACTGCTTTCTAACTAAGATAGCTACGGTGCTTCACATAAATAGTTTAATTAGTAGCTGTCAGAACAAAAAGCAATAACATGTTTACTCATTAATAACACGGCTGTCTGAAGTTAGGCTTGTTCTTTCTGTTTCTATTCCACTTGATATTTTAAAAGAAGGAGTATTCCTTCAAACAGGAGCCTCTGTTTTGTGTTCTGATTATGTTACTTCTCCAGTTAATCCCTCTTTAGAGAGTTGTTTGCAGCTTTTATTATTTAACTATCTAGACCTCTACTAAAAGACTTAACTGTTAACTCCTTCTCTACCAGCTACAACATGCTATTCTTATCAAATGATGGTGTTGTGTACAGCCCGGGGTACATACAAGCATTGACATGATAGAACTGTAGAAAAAGAGAAAGGAGAAAGCAGAGCTGGACTTCAGATTCCAAAATTTTGCGTATGCAAAGAAAATTGTCTGAATTTGGCTGCTAATTTCCCACAGTACCAAGGAATCCTGTGCTTGCATAACATGAATAAATTGCCTGTGGCTAATTCTGATTTTCCTCTCTTCCATTATCATGAAGTGCATACTCACAAAAAAAAAATATGTAAGGCGTGTACATGGTGGTGGTCTTCAGACATATCACGTTTACAGATGGCTTGGTTTTCCCCAGGACTATCGTTCCATGGAAGAGCTTCCGTCAGGCCCTGCATGAAGTGCATCCAATCAGTTCAGGGCTGGAGGCCATGGCCCTGAAGTCAACGATTGACTTGACGTGCAACGACTACATTTCAGTATTTGAATTTGATATCTTCACACGACTTTTTCAGGTAAGAATTGAGGAATGTGAATCGATTGAAATGTGTCTCTGTGCTGCAGGTTAGACTCTTTTCCTAGGACAAACGATATTTTACACACTGAAGTGACATTATTTATGCTGTAAGGGATTTGGTCATCTTGCCCTTCATCCCCTAAGCAGCTCTAGTAATACTTAGGACCCTATATTGTAATATAAGTGTGTGATACTTCTGGTTGTAGAAGAAAAAATTGTCTAAATATATACTGGAACTGTAAGGCACATTCAGTATCCTTCCATGAATCAGTTTTTCCCTTTCAAAGGTCACTTTTAGACTGAAGTTCTGACACAGCTTCTGTAAGCCAGGAAATGCGAAGCTTAGTTTATCAGTCTGTCTTTCCTTGCCCTTTTCTTTCTTGTCAGATTTTTTTTCCAGGGGGTGGGTGTTCAGGATGAAACACAAGCATGGAAATTCGGGCTTCCTAGCTTTTGAACTGACACAGCCAGGATGTTGTGGACACGTCTGTGTTCTGTGCATGAGAAATATCTATATTACTGAAGTGTTATTAATAGTAGGTAAAATTCTAACCCACAGTCTTTAATAGTGCTAAACTCAAAAACACAGCTTCTGGTGGTGCAATTGGGTATTTACAAGAACAAACACTTACTTCTTTGGCTCTCATTTGCCTTTTCCCATGTGATAGGGTGGGTTGTAATTAAGATACGTCTAGATGAAAAATTCCCATGTGCGGTGTTGCAATGTGGCTGATCTCATTCAGTACTTTTTCCAACTGTAGTACATAAAGAGCAAGTTAAGAGTTGCTGCGATTTCCAGGAGGTGCAAAGTTCTTAACAAGACCTAATATCTTCTTTTAGACAAGTTGAGAAATTTGGAAAAATTGGATGAGATTTAGACACTCAAGCCCTTCTTGGGATTGAGAACTTTCAAAGGGTTATGACTTTTCGTGCATCTTTTCAAGGAATATTTAACATGTATATGCTGGTTTATTTATTCTAATCTTAAACTAGCCAGTAGTCCTTGCCACACCCAAGTGAGGTTAGGTGGTTAAGGAATAGTCACAAGCATCTTACACACAGTGAAACTGAGACAGAGGAAGGAGGTCACTTTCCTGAGGCCATATAGGAAGTCGGTGTTGGGGATCAGACTAGTCATGGTTTCTGGTCCTATGCCTAATCTTTTTAATCTCCTGTCTTTATCCGTGTCTTAGGAATGAGTCATTTTCTCTGCAGAAGCAGCACAAATTGGTAGCTATTCTCGAGCTATCTTTTTGTGACCTCAGTGACTTCTCCCTTGGTATTTGTTAAAGGAGTTTTGATTAAGGTCTGTCTTAGGTGATGATTTTATCACCGACCAGAGAGAGAAGCTCAGATGCTAAGGTCGCTGCATGAGAACGTAGATTTTTAGTTCCTCTACTGGATTTATGATGGGATAAGAAACCTGCTGCTTTAACTGAAGAACTGATCCCTTTGATTAAGGAATATTGTACGTGTTGATGTCTCTTAGAAGTGCACGGTTAATATATTTCTTTGTTTCTCTAGCCATGGTCCTCTTTGCTCAGGAACTGGAATAGCCTAGCGGTGACTCATCCTGGTTATATGGCATTCCTAACATATGATGAGGTGAAAGCCCGGCTTCAGAAATTCATTCACAAACCTGGCAGGTTAGTGCTTGGCAGCAGTGGCTTTTTTGATAGTTCTTGCTAACATTGCTAATTACTGCACTGCACCGACTGAGGAGATTGCTTTTATTTTGTCTTTGTCCTCCTTCCTCAGAAATTAAACTGTGAAAAACCCTAGCTTGCCCTGTATTTGGAAATTATCTTCCGTGTGGTGACTTACCTCCTACCCACTCCCACAATTGTCACAACAGCTCCCTCGGGCACAAGCAGCATGCAGAGGCAGACACTGCCAGAGTGAGCCTAAATGGTGGGCTGTTTAGGACCATGAATAAAGGACTGTATCTATAGGTCCCATAACTTCCTGGTGTACATGCATAAAACCAGGAGAGCTGAGCAGATTGCGGCCTTGGGAAGCAGTGTGTACATTTGAAGCAAACTTCAGACAGACAAGGCAGTTGACCAGTGTTTACGCTGGCAGAAGGCAGCGTGGTAGGCAGAGTAGGCTGCCAGGTAATGCTGCAGGCTGGGTGGACTTCAGAGGGTGTCAGGGGCAGCACATGCTTCTGCAAGGGCTGTGGACTTGAGCAGTTTTGGGCTACCTAATGTCCTGGGTAGAACCTGGCCCAATACAACAGGGCTAACAGATTTCTCTTTATGCAGGAGGGACCAAGTGTTCATTTCTGGAGGTTGTTACTATATTATTAGTTTTGTGCTGGTTTTAAAAATGGAAACCTTGTGTAGTCTGTTGTTGGTTTTGTTGTTTGTTGGGTTTTTTTAGAGTTAATTTGAAATATATTATTTTAAGGATGCTAACTTTTCTTGCCCCGGATTCTGGGTTTAATTTCACCGGGAAGCCAGTGCTTGGATGCTTTTCTCACTTCATATCAGATTGCAAGTTTCTCCTTTGATCTGCCTGGGGGTAAATTGAGGAAAGCTGGTATAAATCATCAAGCTATTCCTGCTAGTTTTTATTTGCTGTCTTAAGATAGCCAGACAAAGGCTGCCTACTTGACATTTAATCTTTTCTGTCTGTTCCAGTCCAAACTGAAGTTTCTTTTCCTTTGTGTGTTTTTAGTTACATTTTCCGATTGAGTTGTACACGACTTGGTCAGTGGGCCATTGGCTATGTCACTGCAGATGGAAACATTCTTCAGACAATCCCCCACAACAAACCTCTTTTTCAAGCACTGATTGATGGCTTCAGGGAAGGCTTGTAAGTAGCTTTATCAAAATTAAGTTATTTGCCCTTTTGCCCTTTTTCACTGTGAGTTTGTTTTAGAAATCTTAATCCTGAGGTGAGGTCTTAAAGTCAGTTGAATGGTAATACATACCCTGTGGGTTCCTCACACATTATCTGCTTCACAGGAGAGCCAGCATGTTGTAGAGGTCAAGCAATCACTATTGACATCACTGAATCCTGGTTCGACATGTCTCAGCTCTTCCTTTTGATTTAGACCTTGATTCAGCAAAACACTTCAGTCCTGTGAATAGTCGCACTGATGTCAGTGGAATAATTCATACACTTAACTGTTTTGGCACTTGAGAATACTGAGACGGCTATCCTTTGCACTGGAGAGCTGTACTGTCCTTTGCAATAGCAGACAAAAAGTGTGCATCAGTGTTTCCCATGTCGTAGATTCTTTTCAAGTCGAGTGTTCTTAATTTGAGCCACCATGACTGATACTATGGCATCAGTTCTCTTACTCTGGATATTATAGTTTCACTATGGGATGATTTAAGAGTAGTAGTCCAGGACCATAACATCCTGTTTAAAATAAAAAATGCTGCCAGGAAGGAAGACAAGCTTCTTTTCGTTTTTAATGATGACGTTTGGGTTTTGTCTGATAGTAAAATTCTTCCAAAACTTCTTTTAAATTTAAATACCTTGAATTCCCACCCCTCGCTTTTCACCCTTGTTCTTTCTTTCCTCCACTATCCCCCAAAAAAACCTTATAAGTGTGTTCGCGCACGTGTATGTGTTTGTGTATATGCACATATAGAGAGAGATATCTTTTTTTTTCCCCCAACTGCTTACAGTTATTTATTTCCCGATGGCCGGAATCAGAATCCTGACTTGACTGGCCTGTGTGAGCCCACACCTCAGGACCACATTAAAGTTACACAGGTGAGCGAAGCATTCTATTCCATCAAAGTTGCTGCTTTCTTCCTAATTTCTAGCCTCCTTAGCTGTTTATACAATTCTGTCATACTTGATATCCCCAAGGCTTGGTTTTAAGGCTGATGTATTTTACAGGAGTTGCCGAAATCTTTGAATGGTAGGAATGTGTAGAGGAGATTGCAAAGGTTAGGTAAAGCTTTACCTAAGCTGACAGATTTCAGGATTTTTTTTTTTTTTCAGAATGTTCTGCCAAATATTCATTCTCTTGTGCCATCTGGACTAGACTGTTCTTAGGACACCTAAATGAAAATCTAGGATAACTTGAAGCCCACTTTTCTCAGAGCTTGACAGATGTATCTAATGCATAAAATTATAGTGAAATCTTTGCAGACTTCTGTTCTCCTTTGCAATGTGTTCTTGTGTTTGGAAATATTTTTTTTCCTGCAAATCCTGTGTTGGGTTTCTTGTAGCTATGACTTATCATGCTTATTATTTTACAGTATCAACCATGTCTTGTCTATCTTTTCCCCAAGGAACAATATGAATTGTATTGCGAGATGGGCTCCACATTTCAGCTGTGTAAAATATGTGCTGAAAATGACAAGGATGTGAAGATTGAACCGTGCGGCCACCTGATGTGCACGTCCTGTCTCACTGCATGGCAGGTGAGGCATTGTCTCTTGTTAATCCCTCCGAGTGAAGCTAGTTGTTCTTTTACAGAAGCGGTATGTTCTCTTCTCAAAGCTCCTCAGTTTCCTTCAGGTATGGAGATGATATAGCATAACTGAGAACATAAGCTCATAGTTCAGCAATATCAGTGCATCAGTGCCAGCTTCACCAGCACAGAGAGAAGCTGGTTCAATGCCTGATCTCTTAGTCTAGGAAGAGACAAGAAGTGTGAGGACTTGCTAAAAGGTTGGTTTTCTACTTCAGAGGGAAAATACTCCCCATAATGGTAGCACGGTTTGCCTTTCTGTCTTCCTCTCAGTTGAAAGGTACCTGCTCAAAAGCAAGTTTAAACCTCTTTGTATATTACCTGTGTGTTTCACTTCTGCATCATAGTGGCTGTTGTAACAGACCTCTTCTCTTCCCTGAAGGAATCAGAAGGCCAGGGTTGTCCTTTTTGCCGCTGTGAAATCAAAGGCACGGAGCCGATTGTTGTAGACCCATTCGACCCCAGGGGAGGAGGAGGATTATCACGGCAAGGTGCAGAAGGAACTCCGTCACCCAATTATGATGATGATGATGATGACAGAGCTGATGATTCCCTCTTCATGATGAAAGAACTCGCTGGTACCAAAGTAAGGTCACCATAGTGTGTGCTAGTAGATGTTGCAGTATGTACAAAGACTGCGTGTTCTCCATCAGTTTTTGTGGTCTTAGTGATTTCTGAGTATGAGGGTTGTCACACCTTACAATAGGAAAAATTTTACTCAGTATGGAAAACAGGGATTTAGGTTCGCTTTTGTCAGTTCAGTTTACACTGTCAGTTCTATTAAGCAATGGTGATCACACTTTGAAATCTTTCATCTTTTGTGGGTTGTCTTGAGAGAACCCTTAGGAGGGTGAAAAGGCTGGCTTGACCTATTGGAATGTAAGATCTAGGTTTATAACACTTCTCTGCATGCTTAGCAATGCTGCTTTTGATTTATTAGCCGTAGTTCACCCATATCAGCAAAAATTCATCCATTTTCCCCAGTGATGTATACAGCCAACCAGATACAGTCTTCCCAAAGTCCTGATGACTAACCGGGTAGAGGGCAGGCTATTTTGCTGAGGAAGTCAATTTGACAGTCATCTTTTTATATGGTGTCTGATAAACGTATATAATAAAGTTGTGGTAACTGTCTGCCATTAATGCTGTTTCCTGCCAGGAGATGTGTACAAGACAGGCATTCTTTATGGATCCCTGAGTGGTTTTTTTTCTAAAAGCTTGTTGCTGCTCTCGCATATCTGCACTTAGCATTCTTTTATTGCATAGGGAAGTGGGTTTGAATTTGGCTAATTTTTAATGGTTGAATTCACTAAAATAAACTGCCTTTCCTGGTCAGAAAGAATCCTCTACACTGGTTTACCTATGGTCATATTTCTCTTTAGCTTCCACACTGAGAAATAGTGTACTAAACAGTAAAACATATTCCTGGAGGTAGTTTTTGTATACATAGCTTAGGGAAGCAAAGCAGTGTGACATCCTGTCGTGATTTGCAGTAGGCAAATCACGATAGGACTCTTTGGCATTAGTGAGTTCAAACCTGTGTAAAGCTTTTCAAAGTTAGAAAGTAATAGCCTTGCTTGTAGAATAAACTATGAAAAAGAGAAGAACAGGCGCTGTTCTGATTTGTTAGGTGGACAAACGACTTTCCAGGGACAAAAATGGAGGTTTTGGTGCACACTAGTGATTGCTGCAACAGCCAATGACACTGTGGTCAAGGTAGTCTGCACACTGGTGCCTGCAGTGATAAGTAGGTTTTGCAGCAGACTGCGCCCTCTTGTGTCGAAAAGAAAAGCAGCTTGCTTCTGCTCAGGGCCCAGTAAGGCACGTTGGTTAGTCCAGCAAAACAGCTTGTCTTCTATTGTGCCATTGCTAAGTGTGTATTTTCAGTTGTGTGCCACAGCTAACCCCGTTGGTGATCTTCAAGGCTTGCTGCAAGTCAAATGCTGTTGTGCTGTGAAAGTGCCCTCATTGACTGGTGTATGGTTGTTACTAATGTAGTAATTTGTTACCAATAGCAATACTAAAGCCAGTAGCTTCACAGAGCTTGAAAGCCTCTCTAGAGAAAAGGAGTTCTGATGGATTTTGTCATTTGTGGATTTTCCTATTCTTTTCTTTTTCAGGTCGAGCGTCCTCCTTCTCCATTCTCAGTAGCTCCGCAAGCCACCCTTCCTCCCGTGCCACCGCGACTGGATCTTTTGCAGCAGCGAGTGTCCAATCCGCCGGGGGCTTCCAGTCCTGGGACGACTTCAAAGGTAAAATACACTGTTTGCCCGTTCAGCTATGATTTTGGTGGGATAGGCAGGAAGACGAGCATTCTGGTGAACCCTACACGTTCTCTGTGACATCTGTACTTTCACATGACTTGTTCTTCTTCCTTTTCTGTAGTCCTGTTAGGCCACTTTCCTTTCATTCCCCATGAGAGCCTAGTCTGTCCTGAAAGTAAGTGCTTCCTTCTGGAATCCATGGCAGGACAGTCCCTTTTTGCTGTTTAAAAGGCCTGTCTTTTCTTCACATTTGTCCATGGAATTGATAGAAAGAAGCTGGTCCTAAGCTGAAGTACTTCCTCACTTAGGGTGACTGGTGTCCTCGGGTTAACTGCCAAGTTATTGTTATTACCAGTATCTTCACAGGTTTTCAGCCTCACCTACTACTGCCTATGCCCTTTGGAGCCACATTTATGGGATTGTGTTTTGTTCTAGGTAGCGGGCTAGGTGTGGGAAGGTGTCATATTCCTGTCCTGACTTTTCTTCACAAATTTTTCCATTGAGCATTTTTGCAGATTGAAAACTAAGGAAGGAATGAAATGTATGTGACTGGGAGAGAGTAAATGGTTCTCTGATTGACTAGCAGAAGGCAGTAGTGTGATCTCGGTGACATTTGGTCATCAACTGTTGAGATATGGCAGCTGTTCTTTAGCAGGTTTGGATGAAATATGAAATTATGCTTGAAAGTTCAGGCAGAAGAAAATGTCCGATTCTATGAATATTCATTGCTGACTGATGAATGTTAACTTCTATAAATAACCCCCAATTGAGTAATTTTTTTAAATTATGGGTATCTTTTGTTTGGAATCCAATCTAATGCTGCTGTAACCTTTTTTTCTTCCTTCAAGAAAAATAATCTGGGGTGTTTTGTGCCTAGTTGTAGCTGCATGGAGTTACAAGCCTGTAGAGAAGGTGTCTCTGGAGGGTTAACTTGTGGAGATGTGGCGAGTTATCTCCACATCCTTTGAGATACCTTGTAAAAATAGATAAAACAAAACCAAAACCTCACCTTTCTGCCACTTGCCTCCCTCCTTTTTATGTTTTGTGGCTGGAATACCTTGTTAAGCAATATTTTGCATTCTTCTATTTTCCAGGCTGCACCTGGTACTCTTCACAAGGATAAACCTTTGCCGATCCCACCCACGCTGAGAGATCTCCCACCACCACCACCTCCAGATAGGCCACATGCCATTGGAACTGAAGGTCGACCTCAGAGACGTCCCCTGCCCTGCACGCCAGGAGACTGTCCTTCGAGAGACAAACCACCCCCTGTGCCCTCCAACCGTCAGGCGGATCTGTGGCCATCCAGGCCGATTCCAAAAGCCCCATCTGTAGCTCTCAGCCCTGGCGACCCATGGTCTGGGAGAGAACTGTCAAACAGGCACTCGCTTCCCTTTTCCTTGCCCTCTCAGATGGACTCCAGGGCTGACAGCCATCGGCTTGGGAGCACACTCAGCCTGGACAACCCAGTGGTGAGTAGGCCTATTGGAGGTGAAGGTAATCTCTGAGGAATTAAGTCTTCCATGGTGCCGTCTTCTCGATGTTTACATCTGAACATGGCAATTTTGTGCCAAGGGAGAGATGGAAAGGAACTGGTGAATGCCCAGCAAGGGAGAATAACGGGAGGGCTTGTTCAGGAGTGGCTTCGTTCCTCTTGGGAGCGAGGCTGAAATCCCAGTTTGAGCAGTCATGAGCCACAATTTTATAATCACTGTTCAGCTTTCCATTTTGAAAAACTGAGAATGTTTTGTATTGGGAGCTGGTATGCTGAAAAAGCTTAATTTACTCTTTTCAGTTTTCCATCCTGTAAAACCTGCACACAGTAACTATGATTAGTTTAACAGTAAAATCTAAGTTAAATTTGGATCTGTTACTATTACTAATGTCACAATGTATAACTTAGTAGCCCAACATGTTGTTTGTTCTCTGTAAGAAATCCAATGCAGTTTTGCTTTCTTTGATTCCATTCCCTGAATTTTTCCTTTTAGAACCTCCAGCTTTCTAAAATTGAAAGCAAGTACATTTTTAGCCCGATTGTCTAAGAAAATGACACTTGCACAGTTGTCATTCTGTGTCCATATGTGTGTGTTTGTCTGCATGCTTTTCCTCTTGTCATCCATTTTGGCCTTTTGTCCTCTTTCAGCTGTATTTGCAAAAGCCATTGGAATCTCAAAAGATAGGAAGTTCCTGCAGTTTTGGTGTAAACAAGCAGTTGGCTACTGGAGAAGAACCCTGCTTGTGCCCTCACTGAGGCAAAAATGTTACAGAACTACTGGATTTCTAAAGTGTCAGTAAATGCTTTGGAATAAATGAAGATGCTTCATTCCCCGAGAGGATGTGTTGAATGACTGGCTCACAGCTTTGCAACTACATTGGTGTATGTGGTGTTTCTGATTCCTGGTTTGCAATCTTTTCTTTCAGAGCTTGAACAGTGGTCCACCAACAACCTCAGAGTGTGAACACCCCAAAATTAAACCCTCCTCGTCTGCCAATGCGATCTACTCCTTAGCTGCCAGGTCTGTTGTTTTCTAGCAAAAGTGCTACTTCATAACTTACAGAATGGTAATTGTAGGGCTCTCTCCTTGCTGGTGCCAGGGACAGAATTTGACACAACTCTGTCAGTCTTAGTTTCAGTCTCTGACAGATTCAAAATATGCAATCTAGAGAAAGTAGATGCAATCAGCATCCTAAAGATCTGTTGGTGGTAGTTACCCTTGACTGTGGCGATAGGAAAAAGGCTACTGTTGCAATTAGCTCTTTTATAAATTCACTTCTGAGTTGGTCTTTATGTGAAGTAGGTGTTGTATATATAACATGTATGGTATTGTCAGCTTCCTTTTGCATAATGACCTTGTGCCAGTGTGACCTTGCAGCTGGGCTGCTAAGAATCCTGAAAGCCAGGTTATTTCTTTAGACAGAATCACTATAAGATGACTGCTTGTTATTTCCGCTGTGGATTTTAAAGGCCACTTTAACATTAATGACATTTGGCGTAAATGTTTTTCTGATGTTTATATCTTATTTCTTCTGCCTCTAGACCACTGCCTGTGCCAAAACTGCCTCCTGGGGAACAGTCTGAAAGCGATGAAGACACTGAATACATGTCACCGTCCTCTCTGCCTGTGGTGCCTCCAGGTCCTGCAGTACAACAAACAGAGATCAAAATGCCTTTGGAAATGACTCAGAGTTTACGGTGAGATTCTGTTTGTTTGTGCTGCGCTTTCTCCTCACAGCTTTGGGATAGTGTATGTGTTTACTAGGGTGGAGATTTTGCTTGCTCAGTTTGCTAAATTTCCCCAGTGATATTCCCCAGGTCCAGACTAACATAGCTAACTGTAAATGAAATGTGACTACTGCTCTTTTGCAGAATCCTTATAGAGTATTAAAGGAGGCAGATAAGCACTCCCCGCTCTTTCTGCAGTAACCTTTTGAGAGCAGCAACAACTGAAATTCGAAATGCTATTAAAAGGGTGTGTTCTGGTGTTATCAATCAAACTCTTTTAAGCTAATATGCTGTATTGCAATAGACATTACTAGAGAATTTTCTGGAACAAATATTCTTTCACAGAACAGTGGTGATTTCACTTTGAAGCAGGGATCTGTGCAGACTTAAGTGTTGGTGGTTGACCACTGTCACTTGTCTCAAGTGGCATATGTGTTCTCTCCTTCAGAGTTTTAGACTGCGACCAGCAGACGGATGGCTGTATGTATGAAGCAATGTACAACATTCACTCCCAAGCAGCATCCTCTGCTTTCGAGACTGTCAACACTTCTGGTGAGTGAGTGTGCTAAAAAAACAACTGAGAAACTGAGGTACAATGAATTGGTCCCAGTCACAGCTGGAAGAGCATTTTAGGGTAAATTAAATGTTACTTGCTTTCGCTGTTAAAATAGCTAGGATGTATGTGGAAATATCTGGGTCTGTGTACTGCAGACTGCATGTGGGGATGTTGTGGAGAAGCCTAGTTGGAATGCACTGTAAAATACTCAACAGTTGTTAAAAAAACTGCTGTCTTGAAGATTATTTTTTTTTCTGGGCATCAGTTATCAGCCCACATCTGTCATAAATATTTTTAATCCAATACTAGCTTCTGGAAAGCATCCGTTGAATGTAGGGTTTTGGCAGTAAAACCTTAGTTCTGTGTCCTGTCAATGTTTGTGGACTATATGGGAACAGAGTCCGCCTTGAGACACAGAGGCTCTGTTCAGTCCCAGAGCTCAGAAAGTGCCTCTTGTTCTAGACGAAGGGGATCTCGCAGCAGCCACTGCCAGCAACGGCCCTGAAGAGTCAGAAAATGAAGAAGATGGCTATGATATCCCCAAACCACCGCTACCAGTTGCTATTGCTCGTCGCACACTGTCCGATATCTCCAATGCCACACCTGCCTTCAGCCGAATGTCTTTGGAAAATGACCCTATGACAGGTTAGAGAACACCTGTACTCCTCATGTTCTAGTGGGTACTGATGGCTTGCTATGCATGTTTGAAACTTCCGTCACTGACTTGAGGTTTTGTACGTAAGCTGTAAAGTCAGGTTTACAAGGCAGAATTAGAGTGGTTCTAGGGTGTTCAGTTTGATTCAAAACTTGGAATGCTCCACCTTGGTCGTTTAATCACTGAGTTAGCAAATCACATTTAAATCACAGTTAGGAAAACCTTTCCTCAGCTTAAAGGATATTCCTTAAGCCACTGTTTCTTACAGGGCGTGGCATACTTTTTGTATCAGGACGTACCAGAGCATGAAACAGAACTTCAGAACATTACTACTTTTCACGGTTCCAAGTGAAAGATGACATGGTTGGCCTTGCACAGCTTGTCTGGCTCAGTCTCGGCTGCAGTTGTTGCCAGCAGATGGCAAAAGTGTACTGTTTGATGCTGTCAGTTCTTTTGAGCAGGGACCTAGTCGCTTAGCAAGGTCAGCTTTTTGTCCCTGGGGAGTAGAGGACATCTTGTCCTTCTGGCTGCAAGACACATTTTCTGAGGGAAAAACCAAAGCCTCATCTCTCCGAGAGCTTTTCTGAATAATGCTATCCCTACAACTGCCCAGCAGCTCTAAAGCTCTGAAGCTCTTCTTGTTGGGGGGCTTTCAGCATGTCTGAACACCCTGGCAATTTGGCAAGTAAGAGGAGCAAATTTCTTGTTCCTTCTGGAGATACACAAGAGGCAGAGCCTCCTGTAGCCAGGACCACTTGCCCCAGTGAGTCTTCTGTTCACCTGCTTCAACGCTTCCCCTCCCAGAGCTTGCCCTTCTTCAGCGCAGGGAACAGCTTACTAGTGAAGAGAAGTTTATTAGCTTTTGCCACTCCTCCCTGCCTCACTTTTTAAGTCTCTCACTGTGTCTGTAGAATGTGGCTGACAGGGATAAAAAGGGGCAGAGAGAGCTCACATCCTCCTCCCCGATGAAGTACTGAGCTAGTCATTGAGACTTCTTTGTTTCTACAGCCCTGAAATAACAGTGCTATTGTCCTGCTTTGTAGTGTTAGGAGATCTGCTAATGAAAAACACTATGGAAATGCTGATGGTTACTGCTCTGGGAAGCATATGCGGTTTTCTGAAATGCTGGGTATTGGCTACTGCTGAAGCCTGGTGTTAAGCAAGCATGATTAGTATGGGATACATTTTGGCAAATTTATGTTCTCGTGTGTTGTGTCCTACAGTTTAGTTTCTTCATCATTTACCAAAAAAGCTGTGCTAGTAGTTGCCCTTTTAAATTGACCTATGGTCTCTGAGAGTTGATCCAGCTTAAGCTGAAACAGATATTTCAAAAGACAATTTGGGGGAGAGAAGTGGATAGTCCTTTTTCTCAAATGTACAAAAAGCTTTTTATGTGTAAGAATCTTGTACTTTGAAGATCAGGGAGCTGAACTGCATTGTGGTTGGTGAGGAAGCTTCAATTACTTTGTTTCCTGAAGAGCCTTCTCTGTCTTAGTGCTCTTCGTACAAGTTTTTCAGGCAGGCTCCACAATGACAGCTTCTTTTCTGACCATTGCTGCTGTGCCCACTCTTAAAAAGGGGTTCTTTGGACATTCTTAGTCTTATGGATTTGTCTGTTGTACACCAGTTCTACTGCTAGAAAACTCTGTCTTGAGTGCCTTGAGGAGTTTCTCCAGAAGACAAATAAAACTTTCTTTAAGGTGATGTCAAATATTCTTGCAGAAAAGTTTCTCGTGGTTTGCAAAGTAGAAAATAATGCTTTATGCAATAGTACAGGAGGTTAGAACTCAAGAATTACCAGATTTTGGATTAACACATTGAGCAGTGTGTTGGAGTGTTTGGTGTCGTTTGGTTTATTGGCTATTCTTTTTTCTCCCCAGGAGTAGTGCATGATGTGGCTACTGGCAAGTAACACATCTGGATGACTAAGAGGGGAGGCAGAACAGGCTGAGCTTACTGGCCTGCCGTAGCGGCTGCTGATGGGCTGGCAGAGGAAGAGGAGCAGACCCTTCAGAGAACGTAATTCAGTTGCTGGAGTGATTGTGGTGGATGAATTGTAACTGATAGATCTGATTATGTGCATGCACTCCCTCAGCACACTGCAATGCAGACAACATTTCTGTGAGGAGAGATCAGCATCTGGACAGTTAAACTGAGGGTTGCTGTCTGATTCTAGAAGGAAATGGGATTTTTGGTAAAGTTGCATGTTCTCCATGTCATTTTTCCCAGCAGGTCTCTGCTTCTTATTCTCAGGCTGATATCTGAGCTCTGCTCACACACACACACACATAGCCCTGGTTAATTTTTTTCTGTTTATGTGGTCTTATCTTAATAAATGAGCCTGATGTGGCCTCCTAATTAAAAAAATCTCCATGGCCATTTTTGCACATGAGAGGGGAAGCTGAGCTAATCCGTAGTGTTGTGTGGGAGGATAGGCTGATTGGAGAAAGTGGCACAGCTTTCAGTGGCATGTTTTTGAAGTGCCATTTATCAGTCTAATGTCATTCCCGCTTTGTTCCAAGCAAGAATCACATATCCTTTTTTGAAGTGATGTGCTTGTTTCTCCTTCCAGGTTTTTCAGATGGCTCTCAAGTTCCAGAAAGGCCGCCGAAGCCGCTACCACGAAGAATAAATTCTGAGCGGAAAGCAGGGAGCTGCCAAACAGGTGGAGCCAGCAGTGGGACCAGTGTGTCACTGCAACTCTCCAGTGAGATCGAGAATCTAATGAGCCAAGGCTACTCATATCAGGACATTCAGAAAGCACTGGTGATTGCACATAACAATATTGAAATGGCCAAGAATATTCTCCGGGAGTTTGTTTCCATTTCCTCCCCTGCGCATGTGGCCACATAGCACATTACCTCCACACCTGCAACTTCTGTGGACCAACTGCCTGGGCAGCTGTAGCCCAGCTACGCACCAAAGGGGAAGGGGGTTCCTTTAGAGACTTCGTGCTGAGGTCAGTCTTGCCTCTTAAGAGAATCAGTTATCAGGTTTTTGTGGTTCCAGATTTCAAAGCAGTGGAATAACATGGAGCAGAATGGTGTTTTATACAGTGTATGTCTTGGAGTCCTTTACCCCTACCTCTTGTTTGAGAGAAGATTTATTTCCAGGGTGTTGGTAGAGAAAGGTATCACAACAAGGGATCCCCGAGCTGATGCCCTGGAGGCTGGGGGGAGTGTTTTGTGCTGTGAATTCTACGTGAATGCTCTGAGAAACAAAGTCTCGAGGTCGGTGTGGTGTGTCCTGTGGTTCATGGTACTAGGTTTGGGTCTGTTCGCTGCTGTGTGTCTGGCTCAGGCTTTTTAGAGCAGCTGGGAGGTCACTTTCTGCTGGGAATAAATAGGAGACTGTGGAAGAATCTTTTGATTGCTTCCTGTTTGCCGTGGCATTTCCCTTTTGCCTGTAATAATAGCATTTATTGCTTATGATTCAAGTCCTCCCTTTTTGCCTGGAGATAGCGTGACTAGTTTCTGTCAGGCATTTTGTCTTGGCAGTGCTGGCAGTTGGATTTCTCTCATATGTGTCCTCTTGCCGGCAGCGCTGACAGCACCAGATTCCAGGCAGCTAGACGTGCTGAAAGTTTTTCGTGTTTTTGAGGGGTGGGAGAGGGTAGAAAGAATTGGAGTGAGAGCAAAGAACTGGCTGCTGCTTCTCCTTTTCTAGACTTGAGCATTTTGTGCTTCAGTGCTCGATCTTGATTGTGGCCCTGCTGGGCTTGAGCAGCCATCACTGGACACTCCCATGCGCTCTTTCTCTAGGAATGTTGCACCTGGTAAATATGATGTTTTATTTATTTTAATTGCATGGTGGCTGTTGCAGACTAGTGGCCTTCACGCACATTCCATCATCTCCTTCAGAGAGCTCTTGCGGGAGCCAGCTGTCTTTGTGCCAGGCTGTTTTGTGGAATTGGTAGATGCAGCTGATGTATTTGTCGGTATCTTACCTGCTTTGCAGTAAAAGAAGTGCAGCAGTTCTCTGCATGGCTATCAAAACAACACGGGGGCTCTTCTTTCCATTTCCATTACTCTAAGGTATTGCCAGAGTTTGTGTTAAAACAGATCTGGGAAACTTCTGTATTTGTAAAACGATGACATGGCTTTAAAAGTCAGAACTCAGCTGTTACTTTGAAAAAACCTGACTTGCATACTCAGCTACTTAACTCTGTTCATGTATGCTTAATGTGCGAGAAGCGTGTGGTTCCTTTTGAGAGGATTTAAATCAAGTAGGGAGACACAGATCACAGCCTGACAGACAAACAAGTGCTGTGTACACTGAGAGGCTATTAGCCTTTCAAAGCATGTCTAGCCTTATTTGCGTCTCTCTAAGGGCAGCACTAGTCAGTAGGCAAAGGGTTGCAACTTGAAATATCGTTGGAGCGACTATGGCAGTTGGGTGCACTTTAGCCTTTTAAAGGATCTAGTAGCTGTGCCTGAATCTCAGAGAAACGGCTTGCCATTGGCAGAGAGGACTTAATAAGTATTAGCAAAGGGAACTAAGCATAACATGTTTATTTTAGGTAGAGTATAGGTTTCTCTATAGATCGACAGCTCTATAAATTGATGCAGTGGGTTCCAGGCAGTTTAAAAGCATGAACTGTTTCTCTTTACTCCCCACCTTTCTGTAGTAAAGAAGATGTTCTCTGAAACAGTAAGGCGATCTCCTGCAACACTTTCAGGCCATCACCACTGTCGCTATTTTGAGGCCAGGGCTGAAACCTGCAAATGCAGCACGCTGGTGAGATTTATGTCAGTGGGCATGGTGCTCTGCAGTGGTGCAGAGAGAGGTCAGGCGCAGCCAAAAGCAGGCAGGGTCTGGCCTTGCTGGAGGTGCTGAGCTGCAGAGAAGGTGATGTCAGTGCATATTGCACTTGGGGAAGAAGAGCTGTTCTTTCTCCTCTGCCCACACATGCAACAGTCAGCGGTATCATGAACCAGTCCTGCTCTTTCTGTGTGAAGCGCTTTGCCAATGATGCATGGCAGCCTTGGTCAGCGTGTCTTGTGGGAGCTTCTGGAGAAGCAAGTCCAGCACTGGTGCTACTGAGACAGGAACACGGGGCAGCTCTGGTTGTTCTCTCGGTAGATCTGCATGTTACCCTTGTGAGCCTGAGCAACCAGTCCTGGTGTACGAGAGTTATTTCCTGGCTTTGTTCTGGAGAACCCTTTTGCGAGGGAGCACTACAGTTTTCTTTCCCTCTTTTTCATATTCTCTCCAGTGCTGCCACCAGCTCTGTGTTGGGTTTGGAGCCTCTTCATTTCTGATTTGCTGTGTAAACTGAGTGCAAGTGTGGTGTGTGACTGGTTCACACAGGCAGAGGTGCTGCTGCCAAGGCTGTGTAGGAGCCAATTCCAGCCAGCTAGAAAGCCTTAACTCTTGTCTCGCGCAGTGTGTGTGATCAGAGTAGTGATGCCCTGTCCCATACAAGCCCTTTATTACAGGCTTGTTGTAATGTTAAATTAAATCATGCCTAGCAGAGCTATTACAGGCCTGTCTTTGGGTTCCTATGGGTAGTGTTCCAGGTATTAGAGATTAGAGAGAGCAATCTTTGTGGCACATACCGCTAATTTTTCTGCATGTGTCCTTTCTGTGCACTGTTTGTGTCTAAAACTGATGTAAGAAACTTAAGTCTTGGCTTTTCTTCGTTAGAAATGTAAGCATTTGCTAGTACCACTGAAGTGCAGCAGAGTCCTGACCGTGTCTTACGGCTGTGCTCTGTGAAGTCCATCCAGGCACTGTACAGTGTAGTTTTCTTGTTGTTCTTTCAGGAAGGTAAGCCTAAGATTGATTTCTCTTTTTTCCCTTCACGTCCTTGGTCTTTATTCTGAAGAAGTTAACTTAGTGATGCTACTTTAAAAAGAAAAAAAAGAAAAAAACCAAATGTCTGGTGCCTTTCTTAAGGGAATGCTGCATCGCTAGGCTGGATCTGAGTATCCAACCCTCTGTGAAAATGAAGAGCCCGAACTAGACAAGCTGTAAAGATGCCTTTGAGCATGAGACTGCTTTGAAAGGGGTGAAAAGAAGGGGCAAGAAAGATGGGCAATTGTCACTTCGACAATGACACTGTGTTTTGTAGCATTTCAACTGTGGAGGTTTCCTACTTTACCTGTTACTAACAGTGACTTGTCTGGACTGGTGCTGTACTAAGCTTGGTGTGAAGACAGTAGAATTGTAGGACAGGATTGGTTTTGCTTGTAACAAAATACAAGTTCTGCTCATAAAAAATGCTGTGTTTCTCCCTCCCTGTCAACCCTCGACACAAAGCAAGCAGAAAACACCTTGTACAGTAAGAGCTGGGCACAAAATGTGTGGGACCGGTGTGTGTCTCTGCACAGCGAGCAGCAGATAGCTGTGGAAAGCAGGCACATGTCATCTGTTCTGACCAGGGTTTCCAGCTGACCTAGGACGTTCGATGCCACCGTAGCTGCATGTGAATCTGAAATGAGACATATCCTGCCAGGGGTGTGGTAAATCTTGTCTGCTGCCTTGTGTGTCTGTCTCTGCAAGTGCTACAGCTTGAGGCATGCAGTGTCTCTGCTGGGAACCAGTGGACTTTCTGTCGCTACAAACAGCTTTTCTGCGTGCCCTTCCCTGAGCCCTTGCCTTGGGGGAGCCGGCCAGGCTCGGAGTACAGCATGTTGCTTCCTGCACTAGACTGATTACATTACTGTAGCTAATCCTGAGGCAGGGTCATTACTGTAAATGTTTTTTTCAGTTGAGCAAGAAAAAATGCAACTCCCAGGGCACTTTCTTAAAGGTGCCACTTTAAAAATTTGTGGGGAATAAGGACACTTATTTTTAAAGTTCCTGATAGAAATCTTTTTTGAAATTCCCAGTGGGGGAGGAACAGTTGTTCTTTCTCTTAAATGACAAATACCAATTTGTATAATATCAGTGTTAAAAATGTTGAGATTTTCACAAAATATTTTAAAAAAGTATAATAGTGTCATTAATATAAAAATATAATAGCAGTATTTAATCCTTTCAGATCTGTAAAGAATAAGGAAAAACAGAAGGTAAATATTCTTACAGAGAGTAGCTGAGCTTTAAGGTTCACTTGGTTTAAAGTCCTCGTTTTGTTTGCAAATGCATTGTTAATGTTTAGAGGTTATACTAATGTTATTTATTAATTGTTTCCATCCTTATATGCTGCCCACTAAGAGCTTCTTTGTTTGAGATTTCATTCACCTGTGTCAGTAAAAAGAAAACAAAACAAAGTTTTATTTTTAAATAAAATTTCCTTTGTTGTAGCATACCGCCTGTGTTGTGTTGGTTCTGTGAATCCTGGGAGATAAAGAAGATCCTGCTCAAGCCTGTCTCAGTCAGCTTGTTCAGGGTGCCTGAGTCTGAGATGCTCAATTATGTCTCCTGGAGATGTCTCCTGGAGCCCTTGCAGACTGCGACTGACTTTCTAGCTATTTTAACCAGTACCACAATTATATGAATGTGAATTTAACAGCTAATGGATACTAACAAACAGAGGGCAGGAAAGGTTCATACGAAGTTTATACTAATAAGTGTATAGATTAGAGTTAATGTATTCTAATAGAAATGATTAATAGACCTATTAGAGTTTGAGGATGACATTAACAGGTTTGTCACCACTCGTGAGCACAGTTGATGGGAGTCCATAGGAATCTGCAGTGTCTGTTGGGATCTAAGTAGATCCTGAAGTGTCAGTCCCACTCTGCTGGAGTCCATTAGGCTCCAATTGCCTACCACAGGCTCTGTGAGTACATTACTATAAATGCTAAATGACTTTTATAATTATTGCATAGCATTTCCATAAATATGTCACATGATTCTAGAATATAATTATGTATTAAATATAAAGGCTATGCCATAAACCCAAAAGTTTATATACATAGATAATATTACAAACCCCTAATACTGTGTGGGCTAATCGAAGCTATACACTCTCTTCGATACTGATGGAGTCCAAAGTACCCTGGCGGAGTTTGAGAGACGCTGGGGGAGCCTGTGCACATTCATGACAGAAGACAAGACCCTGTGAGACACTGCAATTCTTGAGCCATGTGTCTCAGCCACTGGTGGTGTCTGGAGAGCTGCTAGTACCCGGAAGACACTGGCAGGTTCTGGACGCCAAATTAGGGTAAAATTAGGTCAAGTGAACCCCTCAAAGATGTTGCCCTGGGGTTAAATGAGGACACAGGGCAATGTCTTTGAGGGGTTCACTTGACCTGAAGTGACCCCTGTGTCTGCATTTAACCCCAGGGTGATGTGTTCGAGGGGTTCACTTGACCTGAAGTGACCCCTGTGTCTGCATTTAACCCCAGGGTGATGTGTTCGAGGGGTTCACTTGACCTGAAGTGACCCCTGTGTCTGCATTTAACCCCAGGGTGATGTGTTCGAGGGGTTCACTTGACCTGAAGTGACCCCTGTGTCTGCATTTAACCC